ACATTTCAAAGTGAGGGGGACATAATATCAATTCCCCCGCCCCTACTTTCAGTAAGCGTCTATCAGAATGAAAAAAATACCGATATTTTTGGAATTGTCATCATCACCATTATCGATCATCTAATTTTTATAATCCTCATCACAAACATTTAAAATACATTTTCAAAGTTAGAGTGTAGTTTCCAGACGTCTAGGGTGGCATCATTTTCCCGCAATTTTTAGTATGGTCGATCGAAAAATACCGATAAATTTTTAAAATTGCGTCCCCCCCCCCCCCCCCCCCCCCCCCACACACCTAACATAATTGTGTATCGGCGTTTACGGAATTCTATTTTTTGCCTACAAATTCGTCGCAAATTTCAACATTTTTATGCTATAATTTGCGATAGTTCACGACCCTTTGAAAAGTATTTTTATAGATGTGGTGGACTCCACCCTTTCCAAAAATTCTTTATTCGCCCCTAGCTTGCCTCATTTTCCCGCAATTTTCAGTAGGGTCGATCGAAAAATACCGATAATTTTTTTTTTAAATGGCGTCCCTCACACCCCACATGATTGTGTATCGGCGTTTACCGAATACTTTTTTTTGCCTACAAATCACAAATTCCAACATTTCTATGCTATAATTTGCGATAGTTCACGAACCTTTGAAAAGTATTTTTATAGATGTGGTGGACTCCACCCATTCCAAAAATTCTTCATCCACCCCTGGCTTGCCCTCATTTTTCCGCAATTTTCAGTATGGTCGATCGAAAAATACTGATAATTTTTTTTTTAATTGCGTCCCCCCACACCCCACATGATTGTGTATCGGCGTTTACCGAATTCTTTTTTTTGCCTACAAATTCTTCACAAATTCCAACATTTTTATGCTATAATTTGCGATAGTTCACGACCCTTTGAAAAGTATTTCTAGATGTGGTGGACTCCACCCTTTCCAAAAAATTCTTCATCCGCCCCTGGCTTGCCCTCATAGACTTAGCTGTTTGCCAATTCAATTTTATTTTATGAAGCATGTCCATTTCACCGGTGACGAAGTAATGTTAAATCTAGTTTCTATTTTCATCCTCAAGAAGCCTGGATACCCACACGTTATTACATTTCCAAAGGGACGGATATGGGACTTAACAACAAGAAACTGGTCAAAAGTCTTAATTAAATGAACGATGAATAATTCATTTAGAAGAAAAAATGTCGATGCAAGTTTTTCTAGAGTGCTTTCAGTTGAACGTGGTCCTAGATGGCAGGAAATGTGACTTCCCGACTTCTGATGTGTCCTTTAATGACTTTTAAGTTCTTCAAAATTCAGGGTTTTCCCCGTCTTGAAAACTTTCTCGTTCTTATTACGGTAAATAGGCCTGTGTATATATTATATAAACAATATAGTTCTTTCCCAGAAAATTTAGTTTTCTAGATGACGGGAAATGATGTTTCTCGACTTCTGAGGTGTCTTTTAATTAAAGGTTTCCCCCTCTTGAGAAAACGATCAGGTAATTAAACTTTCTTATTCTTATTACAGTAAATACTATAGGCCTATTATGTGTATATATACATAATAAAATGAATGTACGTATTCTTTTTTTCATGAATCGATCAACCCTAAAAAAGAAAGGTGTTCGGGGTCCTCCCCCGGGAAAATTTGATTCCTAGATGGTGGGAAATGACCTTTCCCGACTTATAATTTTCCCACTGTAGCAGAAAAAAAAATCAGCTCAAGGTCCTGAAAATATAGGTCTAGATTTTTTATTTAAAAATAAGAAAGTGAAAATTTAAATAAGAAAGTGAATATAAAATATAAATTAATAGTTTAAATTATAGAATGTGACACAAAATTGCATGTTCGCTACTTTTAATTTTCAAATAAATTGTAATAGTTATTGAAAACGGGTAGAAACTCACACCAGGCACACAGACCTGATTGAGGACCATTCTTGATAACATTCGTCATGTTCATGTTTGGTGGTGTAGTACTAATGGCTGCAATGGCTGTGGAGGCACAGTTTTTAAAGGGTTCAATGTATTAACGGAAAGCTGAATATTTATAGATTCTTCTTATATAAAATATATTTATTTATTTAAACAATATTTTGTGAGGGTGGTCCATCCACCCTGAGCTGATCAATTGGGACCCTCAGTAATATAATTAGAACATAAGTATAAAAATTAAACTTGATCTTTAACATAAACGAATTAATTAAATTAATCCAGAAAATGAATTCCCATTGGATGAAAAAAAAAATCAACGTCAAAACACTAATTTCAATATGAATGAACAATCCTGTCTAGGCATTATGCCCGCAAAAATGCGAAGCTTTAGTATAGGCTTCCACCATTGTCAGAGGTCAGGAATCCACCATCAACTAAACTGCCTAAAAAAAAAAATTTTCAAACATTTTTGTCTATTTAAAAAAAAGTGCGTAAGTTATGGAGATGGTAACAATCAAAAATCGATTATAAATTTAATTCTACATTTTTAGACAAAACAATAAACCCTCTTGGCCCACGGCCCATTTTTGACACCATGACCATGCGTAATATTAACCTGCAGTGTATATATACAAAGAATTTTTTCTAGTAGGATTAGAGTTGACTAACTGGTACTTGATGTGGTACTAGGTTTATCGCATTTATGGCTTAGGGGCCGCGGTTTACCTCCCTCCGTTTAGTCATGCTGGATCAGGAGTAGTAAACTCGGCGATCGTGGGTTCGATTCCCACACGGGGCAAATTTTTTTTATTTATTTTTTTTTGAAGGTCGTGGGTTCGATTCCCGCACGAACCGATTTTTTTTTAAGGCAGTTTAGTTGATGGTGGATAATGAATGTACAGTATTGTACTCGTTGATGACGTCGCAAAATAACAACAAACAACAACGTGTCATGTCCGAGCCTAGGCCGTCATGGAAGCTCACTGGCTCCTGTGTAATTCATGTTGAGCCAACTGCAGACGAAAAGGTTACAATCTTTTCAGAGATAAGCCGGAAGAAAGTTTTAGACAGTGCCCATGAATGGAAGGATTTTAATACAGTACTGAGGAATGGAAGTTAGCGAAGTCCTTGGCTTGCTTAACCGTTTTTCTTCGATCGTCGCTTCCAACCGTCTAGGCGCGTCTAGCCTAAAGAGGGCCTAACATAGCAGGTCGAGATCCATGAAAAGTCGTATTTATAAAGATGTGGGTTACCCACATCTTTATATTTGCACAAGTAATTAAAATTGTTTATTGAGCAGATTAATCACACTGATAAACAATTGTACTACATTCGGCTGATGTATATGAACTTTATTTAGAGACATAATTTCATCATTTTCTTTCCAAAAATCTTAAAAAACGTTAACTAGCACCTTATATCGACTTTTGAATGGTGAAAATCGGCTCAGTATGATAACCATGGAGGTATTTTTGAGAAGGAGATCACTCGGCAACAGTTCCCTTTGACGCGACAAACCCATGTGTTCCCCGCTTTTGCATCGCGCGCGGGCGTATTACCCTATAATTCACTTTTTTTTCGTTAGCAACAACTTGGCAACGACATGCATTTATACGCCTCCAGCAGAGCAGTGTTGTGCAATAAAGCGTTTGATTTTAACCCATTAAATATCTTTATAATAAACAGTGTTCCCCTGATTAGATTTTTTCGGACTTTTAATATGATGTTATTTGTATATTTCAGGAACGGATTCCGTAAAATATTTATGTTAAAATTACTTCTGTGTTCATTATAATTTTGTCTAAAGATTGATTAGTTCGACTATAAAGCTAAGTCAGCGTAAAACTGAAAAATACTCAGATTTTGGATTGATTTTTCGAATAGTTAACCCTCGTTAACCCTAAAATGACTTTATTATAATCCTCAATCATTTATTAATTAATATCTGTTAAAATTAGAATTAGCGAATTTTGGCCAATTTATGGAAATTGAAGTTGAAATATGCTATACTTTTAAAGGTCATGGTTCCATTAAATTCGAAAATGTTTTTGGTGGAAAAAATTAATATGTTTGATATTTTATGAGAAGGACGCACATCTCCGCTCTCGAACATAGCGCGTGCGTACAGTCCTTTGATCTTTACTGTGGCATCGACAATCCGATACTAGTTGCGAGTACAGTCGTCAATTATTAGTCTATGCGTGCCATTCGTTTCATGGTGTTAGTTTTTATTTTATTAATTTTGGGTACCGGTACTTCGCAATGCCTGTTACATATAATTTTTTTTGACCGCGAGCTTGTTAAATGCTTCCATAAATTGCAATTTGATTTGTGAAAATTGACCAAGAAAATGAAAAGTTATAGCAATTTAAAATTTACGAATCTTATAAAATTTCATGTTCTTATGTAACATTAATCTGTTATTTTGACAATGTTGGCACATGGTGCCGAAAACGAACATTTGGGTATATACAGAACATTTATTAATTTATTGGTTACAGCATGCACGCAAAGATCATACGCGGCGGATACCCTACGCGGTGGATACCCTACGTGGCGCTATTTACACGATCTTTTGTTACTTTTTCGCCAGTGACGTCATGGTAAAATCGTATATAATCGCCTATAACTTCATTAAAAAAAAAGCCAAAAAACGATTTTAAGGTTGATTCTATTATTAATGGCATATCAAAAATCGACACTAGATCAAAAAATCATTTTGCTAGTTCTCTTTTAACAACAAATATAAAACGGAGAATCTCAATCAGATAATGAAATGCATTAAAATGCCGAACTACAAATAACAAAACAATTTTGGGTTCCTTGGACTATAAATGGGTATTGACGTAAGATCATGGTAAATGTTGGTACTTAAAGCCTTTTTGAATTGAATTTTTCGGTAGGAATGTTGGAGTGTCACCGTAGTCCCCACAATTTTAGAAATCAGCATACTAAAAAAGTTTCATGCTTCCTTCCAGGTGCACCATTTAGGCAAAAAATGTCACATCCGCCCGACTTTAATGTAATGCTCACTGAATGCACTCCCGGCGTTCCATGAATGCAGCCTCTCTAGACGACACGCACAGGAGCAGTAACAATCTGCCTTGTTTCGTAAACAGATGATATTATTATATACCAAAGAAGGTTTTCGACAGTAAACGAAGGCAATGATAATTTTGTTATTTTGTCATTAAACCTACATTTTGTTTATATTTCATGTCTAGGCCTAGGCCCAGGAGCCCTTCCCTAGCTATAGGTTAGGCCTGGCCCTCGCCCTAGCCTAGCCTAGATAGATAGGGAAGACTGGATACGTACGCCAGGCCTGGAGGCGGGAGGATGCATGCTAGGCTTTTTACAGAAACAACGCAAATGTTACAAGTCGATTGGTTTGGAGACACGTTTCTTTTTATCGTTTTCATACAATATATATTTGGATCATGATAAAATGCTTCAAATAAAATTTAGATTTATAAAATAATTAGGCCTAGGCTTATCGTTAATTTAGAGAGGATTAGTAATAAGTTTGTTTTGTTTTTGTTTGTTGCGTCTCCATTTACATTACCAAATGTTCTGTTTATAACAATACATAGGCCTGTATAAAATAAATTAAAATATACCGAATGATGTGATAATGAAAATAAAGCAAATATATTATTTTATTCATAAGGCCGACAAAATCACTCATTGCATTGAAATTAACTAAAGAAATTATTAACTACTGTACAGTATACAGTATAATACTCCATTTACATTACCAAATGTTCTGTTTATAACAATACATAGGCCTATATAAAATAAATTAAAATATACTGAATGATGTGATAATGAAAATAAAGCAAATATATTATTGTATTCATAAGGCCGACAAAATCACTCATTGCATAGAAATTAACTAAAGAAATTATTAACTACAGTATAATTTGAGGAAAGAAACATTTTCAAAATTTATGTTGAGTTTGAGGTGAAGCAGTCACATGGTTTGTATCTTCTTGTTTGTTTTATTTCCATTGTCGATGCATAATTTGATTAGGCATGTTTATAAAATACACAAATAAATGGAAATAGTAGAACATAGTTTTCTATAGGCCTACAATGTTAATGGCTGTTTCAGGCTTCTTTTGTTATTAAGTAAGCCGGAAATTTCACTCACAAGGCCTATTGTTGCATGGAAACTAACTATAAAAATCGGAAAGAAACACCCACAAACATTCCCACTGTACTCTTTAGGGTGAAGCAGACATCCTGTGTACGCCGCCTTCAGGAATGTGTGGGCGCACTACTGCAAAGAGTGAAGTAGGTTAGATAATAAAATTTGATGCCCCCGGCTCTGTGTAGGCTCAATCTCCAGCCTCCCCCCCCCCACCTTTTGACATCTCTGGATCCACCCCCGATGGATCAATAGTTGCGATTTGGATTAGGATGATGTACTGTTTTTGTAAATTTGAAAATGACGATAATGAAGTTTGCATGTTGAAGTAATGCTGACGGTACAACGTAGATAGGCCTGATTCTGAAAAGGTTTATTTTATTTTTTTTTGGAGAATGTCTCATTTTTTTGTTAATAAATGAAATTACTAGCAGCGAAAACAAACATGAAATTCAGATATTTGATTTAACAATTAAAATACCGCAACAAAACACAAAAGCCTTTAATTATTAAGGATCATTTAGAAATTGATAATATAATTCTACTGTCTTGTACACTTGACTTTTCACTACTGGGAACTGCAAGAAAAAACAACATTGTTTTTGAATAACCACATACTGTAAAATTATACTCAAACTAATTAAAATTTCTGAAACAATAACAATTGTAAAACTTAAATAATAATCATACTGAAAAATTCAGGGATCATAAAAAAAGACAAAATAAATCATACTAAAACACACAAAAAAAAAGCTCTTTAAAAATACAGGACCCAAATAAACCACAGTGCGTATTTGGCGCTCCATGCTGCTGCTGTTAATTGCAATCGAAATGCTTACAAACAATAGGCCGCGACCACTTCTGACCCGGGTCGTTTAGACCTTCTAGCCCGGGTCGTTTTTAAACGACCCGCCGAATCGACCCAGGCCAAATCGACTCAGGGCCGAAACGACCCAGGAAACCAGTTTTATTTTATACAGTTAGTTTATATATTAGTTTATACTGGATGGGACTACTGTACCAGTTTTTATAAAAATTGTTTTTACAGAATCCAATATGGCTTGGGCTGAACCCTTGGATTTTGGTACGCAGGTTTCTTGGCCAGATGGAACTGTTATTGGTAATAATCCAGCAAGAAGGAATGCAGACAGTAACAGCAGTAGTACAAATGGAAACCAGATGAGGACCTTTATAGCGGATCTTGCACCTCATCTGCCAAATGTGGTAATGCACTGTCCACACAGTATCAAATTTTATGTGACAAAAAAAAAATGTGACACGCCCATATTTGGGTGTAATATGACATCATAAAGGTAAAAGGTAAAGGTAGGGGAATAACCCATAACTCGCAGAATCATTGTGCTGAATTGCATATGGGCATATTCTGTGACTCCCTAGCTGCCGTTAAGAGGGACTTATAGTAGGTACATGCTCACGTCATTCAACAATGATAAGGGCTGCAATGAACCATAACATCGGGGTAAAATGATATTTTGTAGTAGAACTGATTTTTTTTCTACAGTAGGACGAAAAAATTTGTTTGATGAAAAAATTGGGAACGGTAATAACAAGATACAGATTTTTGAATATTAAAAAACTGGGGGGAAAAGGGGTGTAACTACGGTATCTTTTTTCCATGTTTCCCGCAGTTTTTTTTAATATTTAAAAATCTGCCTCACATTAACCGTTCCTGATTTTTACATCAAATTACTTTTGTGTATCTTAGAAAAATCAGTTTTTGCAACATATCAAAAAATGTTTTTCCTCCGGAGCCTTACCTTAAAGTGCACACGAGCCCTGGGCAAGGAGAGGCTGGAACCAGCGCCGATGGTAAAGCTGTAGTTAGCGGTCCCCTGCCTTACTGCTGGGCCACTCGAGTCGCAATAATCATGTCCACATCACACAAATTTGTCAGATAAAATTTGATAGTGTCTACAGCTTAAAGCTCTGTCCACACTATCAAATTTCCTTGAACAAAAAACTGTTGTATGCCCATATATAGTCATGATGTGCCTATATATGGTCATGATGTGATGTCATCATGACCATATTAAGGCATGTCACATGTTTTTGTCAAATAAACTTTGATAGTCTGGACAAGGCTTTAGATTTGTGCATGGAAACATGATAATATTAAATTTTAAACAATGTGTGGAAGTGTGTGGTGCGGTCAGCAATACATCATTATGCCCATATTTGGGTATAATGACATCATCATGCCCATATATGGGCACATCACACACATTTGTCACATAAAATGTGATGTGTGGACAACGCTTGTTCAAAAGTGTGAATTTGCTCTGTCCACACCTTAAAAGTTTATGTGACAATTACCTGTGGTTCACCATTTATTGGTATGATATGACATCATTATGCCCATCACACACATTTGTTACCTAAAATGTGATAGTGTGGACAGCGCTGGTTCAAAAATGTGAATTTGCTGTGTCCACACACACACACCTTAAAGGTTTATGTGACAATTACTTGTGGTTCACTATTGTATGACATAATTATGCCCATATGTTTTTCTGATATGACAGTGCATCATCATGCCCATATTTGGGTGTAATACTGTATGACACCACATTTATTGTCACATAAAATTTGATAGTGTCCTATAGAGCCTTAGTGTAGGGGTTAGTCTCATTACTTGTGTCTATGAGCTATTTATTAATATTTCAATTTTATAAAAACTTGCTCTTTATGAAAATGTTATTCATGTTAGTTTTTGGTAAATATACAAATTAAAAATAGCAATTATAATGATTTTCGTTCTTTATATGTTTATTCAAAAACAGGTGTTGTTTGGAGTTGTACTTTCAAAACAGTCCCCCAGATCTGTTGTCAGTAGAAAGTGTAAGTAGTAAATACTATAAGAAGAGAGGAGAGATTAAGTGAGGAATTATGAAAAGGAGAAAAGAAAGGTGGATGAAAGTAGAGCAAGAGAAAATTATTTACATTTTAAATTAACATATTCAAGGGGATATGGCATTATTTACCCCGCTGACTTCATTATTTACTTAATTTTTAGAAACCAATGGATTCTTTGGAATTGGAGCTTTGGTGTTTGTAATAGTCATGTGGGTAATGATATAACAATCTTATCTTAATAATACCACCATTTTTTAAATTTTTTTAAATAATACACAGACCCAAACACTCAGAGGTACGTGTTCAGTTTTGTGCTGAGAGATTCCGTCACAGACTTTATCAACATCTCATGTTGGGGAGCTGGAGGCTTCATCAAAGAATTGGCAAATAGTTTCAAAATTGCAGACATTGGTAAGATTTTTAACGATAACTGGTTAATAGTAATAGTTGAACTGGTAATCGGTGGAGCGGAGTGTTGAATAGCTTTGGCGATTTAAGATAAATGCTTGCCTCTTAATCCAAGGGTCCTATGTTCAATTCCTGTCATAGCAGGACTTTTTCTCGCAACTACTCCACTCCACTTTGTAAGTCTCATAGAAGCATCACATTATATAATTTATTTAAGAGGACCCCTGAATATTAGCTGACCTTCTAGGATATGCTGGGAGCGTCACCCTCTATAAATATGGTTGAAAAAAATGTTTTATTTATCATCTGGAAAATATATTTTAGTTTACAATTAAACAGAATAAAGAAAATCATAATTATGTTAAATGAGGTGTTCTACTATAATATGAAATAATAAGGTCAAATAATCATGTGAAATAAGAATATGAAATATATGAAATAATCATGTGAAATAATATGAAATATATGAAATAATTATGTGAAATAATAATATGAAATAAGCATGTGAAATAATAATATGAAATAATGATATGAAATAATCATGTGAAATAATAATATGAAATAATCATGTGAAATAATAGTAATATGAAATAATATGAATAATAATTAGGCTTTTGCACCAGAAGTTTACTAATTTTTTGTTTGTGAACTCACCATAAACTCATCAAGATATTTTATGAATTATAATTAATAATGATATACAGCATAATCAATTTTTTTAAATATTTACTATGATATACACATTTATTATTATTTTTAGTGGTAGTGAAAAATCCTTTGATACAGGCCAAGCAGAGCTCAGATTTTGAAGCTGAGGACAGGTTTAAGCCATCGACTAGCAGGTAGCTTAGGCCTACAGTTTAGGGCAGTTTGAGGGCAATTGACCTTTCCACTAAGCCCCGCCCCTTTTATATCTGATCCTGTTCTGATTGGTTAGTTGTTAAGTATGAATGGCACCCAGGAAAGGTTCATTGCTGTTCGATTTCTAATCTCAAAGTTATCATTGTAGGCTTAGTCCTCTCACATACGTGACCAGCTGTCGCAAGACCCTCTGTTTGTAGGAAAAATTTAAAATTGAGTTTTTTGGTCTTTTCAAATTCTGCATAAAATCTTCTTTAAAACAGTGTTTATATTATGGAAATTGGTTGATTATTTACTAAAGTTTTGCCACAAATGGAGGGTTTTGCCAGATCCGGTCACATATATAATTAGTTTTATTTCTGCTTTGAACTAACTACTAAAATTATTGAAGAATCAGTTGTTTAGTTTTTATTTTTAATATTTTTGAGGTTAGTAAATTTTAGCCAATGATTTTTTAATAATAATTGTTTATATATTGGATATAGAATAAATAAATCCCATCCTGGAATGGACTTTTCCAAAAGGACCCTTTTCCTTAATAGAAACTGTTTCTAAATCATAATTTGATACTATAGATCAGTACTTTGGAAAGGTTCATATTATGAATTTGAGGTATTTGTTAGTGACTAACACACAAACCATTTGTAAAAAAAAAAAGAAAATCAATATTATTTCATATCTATATTGTTGCTGTTTTATAGATTAACCTTTTTGTCCACTTTTTTTTAAACTAAACTTTTCAACTTTCCAGGATTTGGTTAATTAGTTTCATTAAAATAAATTGTATTGGAATAATATGTTTATTATTACTTCAGTTTTATACACCTATTTATATACTTTTAGTCATTGAATTAATTTTTTTTGTGATATGTCACTCCAATTTTGTTGAATATTTGCACTAAACACATTTGGATTTTTTTTTTTTTATTTTTTTTTATAATTTAGGTGTTTGTATGATTAGAGTTCAGATCAACACATTTTTAGTGGGGCTAAAGAAGGTTTTAAGATTTATCATTTAACTGGGAGGTGTTGTACTTTGATCTGTATCATTCATTTATTATACAGTATTTGATCTTAACACTCATAGACCTGTCAGTTTAATCAATTATAGTTTTCTTTCAGAATTGTGATTTACAAATTCTTTCTAGATTATAAGTTATTTTAATTTAGTCAGATGAGGCTTGTCATCCCAAAACCACCATTAGTAACCAAAAAATGAAAATTGACTTTTTAATAATGTTCTTACTCTCCACATTGTAAGCTTAAAAAAGTGATAATAATGGAATCGATTTGCTAATTTATGCCAAAGTTATGATAAGTATTATGGCTTCTCTGAACTAAGGTATATATGGTCATAGACAATCTTGCTCCCCAAACAATTTGTCAGTGTCTCACAAAAATAACTGCAAATGGCCGCATGGACACTCGGCAGATCACTAAAGGGGACTTACATATCCCCAGACCCCACTTTGAACTTTTCAAACTTTCATTTAGCTTTAATGCCCCCTCTTTCTTTAACTCTCTTCCCTTAGATATCCGCAATGCTTCTACTTACTCCTCCTTTAAATCGTCCCTCAAAAGTTACCTCCTTTTTTCTCTCCTGTAATTCTGTTTGTTTGTTTGTTTGTTTGTGTTTTGAATTTGCACTGAGAATTCATTTTTTGATTTCTACCTTATTATTTATTTTCTATTTTATTTATTAATTTAAATTGATTTATTTTCTTTAAATTAAGAGTGATTTGATTTATAGTTCTCATATACATTGGCCTATTATCTATTTTAAATTTATTTGATTATTTTATTTAGGCTACTTTATTCCCTTTGTTGTTTTGCCTATTGTTTTTTAATATTGCTCTTTCATTTACATCTTTAATTGTAATTTAATTTTAATTTTTATATTAAGTTTTTCATTTAAAATTTGAATTAATTCTTTATGTAAATTTTGAATTGAAAGGTTGTTATTTATTTTACTGTAATTTAATTAGTTTAATACGCTCTTTTGTTTTGTTTTACTATGTGTATTGAGGGTCTCTAATGATCAGCTTCGGCTGGATGGACCACCCTCATTAAAGATTGTTGAAATAAAATAAAATAAATAAAAATAGACTAAAGAAATGATTCTTTGCTCTATGATATGGTGACTACTTATCGGTAAGACAGCGGTGTCTACCTGATGGCTAATTGTCTTTCAAAGAAAGATGGCTAACATTTATAATAATACAATACTATGCTCATTACTCGGTTTCACATATATTACACTTGTATTGGGATGGCGTGCCTCATTTAAGAAATTTGGAAGAAATAATTCTCTTATATCTCTCCTCTATGTCTTCAGTTCATTTCAGTTATCTCTGAGTGAAAACCACTCATCCATCCAACTTTACACCGGTAGTGATGTGGACCAGTTCCAGAGTCTTCTGCATCAGCCAATCAAGGAGGGAAATGACTACTACACTCTTGAGGATGTCATTGCGAATGGACAAGAGCTTAGTGGACAACACATTAATTTGCTGGTACTAGTGAAGAGTGTAAGTAGGCAGGTGTATAAAGTAGCACTGTGAGGGGAGAAGAAGCAGGTCAGTGCCTCAGCGACCCGTCTTCAAAGGGGCCTTGGGGGAGGGGGGAAAAATAAGATAAATTTTCCTAGTACTGCTGTAGGCCATCTCTCCACCACTGTCTTCCCTACTCACTGCACCGTACGAGCATCTTACACTCTCTCTGTGTGCTATACAACACGGTGCCATCTGTTGATTGTCATTGTCTGTCTGAACAGATTGTCATTAAAATTGTGTTATGTTCGCATCGTTGCGTTGTTTTCTCCTAAGAATTGCATCGGCCTACGACCATCCAAAACAATGAGTGCCTGGCTTTAGCGGTATTGTTCATTCCAAATTATTTTACGCTGCGGACAATGTGTTTTCATTTGCCCTCCCCTCCCCCCTCATTATTTCATTTTTTAAAAGTAACAATCATTTCATTTCTTCCCCTTTCTCTATTGAACATGCTTCACCGACACCAGATATTCATAACATCAAATAATGAAAACACTGTAAATTTTTATAGTGCCATATCTGAAAAATGCACTCATGGTGCTGTCCCAAGTTAAAATAAAAAGCAAGAAGAAACAGAATTATTTGAAGTGGATGACAAAAAGAAAAAAAAAAGGCAGGATTTAAAGAGTGAAAGGGATCCTGCAGAAGGAATGACTGTGGAAGGTCATTCCGAATCTTTGGAGAAGTGCAAGAGATGCTCTTCAAACCACATAGATTACACGTTTGATGTTTTTCAAGATGATGTTTGTCGGATGAGGAAAAACTCAAGGAATAAACTTGTTATTAAATTGTTCTTCTCTCTGTTAACTTTCATATGCCAGGTTGGGAATGTTAAAGATATTGTAACCAAAGACGGACGGAACATCCATCGCTGTGAGGTCAAAGTGTTTGATGATACTTATCTAAATTTCTCCATCATTATGTAAGTGGATTCCAATATTTAATATATAGAAATGTGATTATATTGCTACTGCACCTCTCATCAGTGATTATATATTTTCATATTATTATTTGATTTGAGGTAGTGCCATCCTGGCGAGTCAAATGGCAAGCGGTTAAGGCGGGGGCGCCGTAACCTACTGCCATAACATCAGCGCTGGTTCGAACTGCACGCTCGCCTATGGTTCTGGGGGTGGAACAAGTCTTCTCGGATAAGGACTATAAACCGTAGGCCCAGTGTACGCAATTGGCTCATGTGCACTTTAAAGAACCCAGTACAACTCTCGAGATGAGTAGTGGGTTACCCCGGTGTACTGGTCCATACAGCCTCTGTTGTCTTGTGATGGGATTGCCACTTTGATGAGTGATTAGTTCACTGTTTTGCGTATCCTTGGCTTTCGTGCCTAAAGCTGAATTAATAAATATTTATAGTTTCAAAGAGTGGAGCCTTTTTTTAGTCATGAGGAGCAATCCCGGTCATTGCAGGTTTTTAACTCAATTCAATAAATGGTGTAAATAAAAACATTATTATTCATAAAGATGACCAAGTATTGAGTTAATAATAATAAACATAAACATAAATGAGTATTTCAGTGTGAATCTCACCAAGAATAACCCAGGTAATCTGAAGACTTGTTTCGGGATCCTTCTGGTGGTGAATTGGGCAGTAAACCGGGAGACAATCCCCTACTCCTTTCCGTAGAGTGTACTGCGTTCTTTAACGTACGCATGGGCCATAATGCACACAGGACCAACGGCTTAAACGTCTCATCCAAAAGATAATGAGCTATCGTAACTTGTATTTCAGCCCTCCAGCTGAAACACAAGAAAAGCAGTGATGGGAATTGAACCGGGGATCTAGAGATCTCCACGGTTCAGCGCACACACAGTGGCTACCACCAGATTAGACGACTGAGCTAAGCTGATCCCTATAATCCCTATAATTATTTAAATTCTCCATGAATTTCTGTATACCCTATAAAAATTCTTCTTAGATATCTACTGAACAGAATACCAAGAAAAGAAGAAAAATTTAATCTAATTGAAAAGAGTTATTCATTTGTATTATATGATATTTTTAATGTTAATTATAATTACATTATTTTTCTTTTAATTGTTATTTCAGGTGGGATATTTCAGTGATTGAACAGACTTACACCTGGGTATCAAAGGATACAGGTATTTGTTAACAAACGAGCAATTGTTTTAATTGTCATTATGATTTATGTTGAAATATATGAATTATAACATTTTCTTCACTTTTAAGCTTTTGCATAATTATTTCTGATGAATTTTGAATTGATTTTTCCCTTTTATTTTTTTAAAATACAGTATATTGAATTGTTTGTTTTAATTGAAAATGTGCTAAATAAGTTATTATTATTTTTATTATTATTATTATTATTGTTATATAAACTTAATTTGTATTTTATATATGTTGAATTTTTCTATTTGTAAAGATACCTTTCTTTTAAGTTGTAGATATCATGTAATTCAGCCTTGGCTGGAGCTTTGAAATGAATAAAAATATAAAAAGCATAATTGCTATCATTGTCAAAATCATCGTTATAGTGCCATTGTCATTATCATTTACAATTTACCACATCTACAATAGCTCCTTCCAGATTCAACCTATCCATGACCTTCCTTGTATTCTTTCTGTTTGACAGTTTCAAATCACACATCTTCCGAATCATGACTCTCTAAGAATATTTTTAATTCTCTTTCGTTTCCTTAGTTCTTTTTTTCGCCGATGTCCTCATCAAGTTTGACAATTTTAGGATGTGTATGACAGCCACAGTGGATAGCAAGACAATTATCATCACAAATCCTGGTAAGTATGGTTTCCATTTTCCATTTTATTTAAAAAAAAAAAAAGCTTTCTTAAAAACATAAATGTAATTACTACTGACAGGACAAAAATACACTTCTTTTTATGAACCCAAAAAGAATGGTCTTCTTTAGTACATTTTTATCGTCTCTCTCAGACTATTTTATGATTACTTACCAGGATAAACTGACTATTGCATTTGTTCCTTAAACTACAACATTCCTAAAAAAATAATAGGACTGTCCATTTTTTGCTAACCATGATGTGTGTGCATCTCATTCTTTGGAGACCAAAAAACATTATCTTTTTCATACATTTTCGTAATATTTGTCTTGTATATATTTTATCATTTTGTTACAAATTTTTATTTGTGAATAAACAGTTTATTTTGTGAACATTTATCTGGATAAATGTACATTTTTCGTACATTTTTATCATCTATGTCTCATAAATATTTGATTATTTTATTACATATTTTATCAGTTTATTTCATGAATTCTTACCTGGATAAATTGTTTTGTTCCTCCCCTGAGAATATTTGAACTGTCTGTCCCATGCTAACCGCTAGGTATGCGTCCGTGGAGACAAAAAGGCATTATCTTTTTCGTACATTTTTATCATCTTTGTCTCATAAATATTTTATCATTTTGTTACATATTTTATCATATTTCATCAGTCTATTTCATGAATACTTGGATGAATTGCTTTGTTCCTCTTAAAATACCAACCCCCTTAAGAATATTTGAACCGTCCGTCCAATGCTAACTGCTAGGTATGCCTCCGTGGAGACAAAAAGGCATTATCCTTTTCGTACGTTTTTATCGTCTTTGTCTCATAAATATTTTATCATTTTATTACATATTTTATCGGTCTGTTTCATGAATTCTTACCTGGATAAATTGCTTTGTTCCTTTTAAATACCAACCCCCTGAGAATATTTGAACTGCCCGTCCCATGGTAACCGCTAGGTATGCGTCTGTTGAGACCAAAAGGCATTATCTTTTTCGTACATTTTCATCATCTTTGTCTCATAACTATTTTTATTATTTTATTACATATACATATTGATAAGCTGCATAAAGTTAATGAAGCTTATTGGTAAACTACTCCCCAGCTGGTAGTTCAATATTTGATTGATAACACAGTTGAGCCATTGTGATTGTAAATTTACATCTTCGCCTGAAAGAGCAAACTCATATTTTATTTCATATTCACATTTGTTAATGCGAAACCTGAAAATCTGCAAAACAATGTTAAAGTAAATATAAATTTTTCGTTGACGACAAGATGGAGCCAAAAAAAAATTGTTTCCATTAATCTTCAATTCCTCAATGACTCGTAAAGAAAATGTAAAGTAAAAACTTTTTTTTTCCGCCGCTTGTTTTGCTTTTATGAGAGCTATAAAATTCATGAATAGATGAATGTATTAGTTTCTTTATAAAATTATTAGAAAAAGTTATTATTAAAACATACATTTATTAGAAATACAATAAAATAAATTATATTTTATTGTAAGAATGATGGAATCTTAGCTGCGTGTGGTCTGGTATTCACCAAAAACAGATGCTTATGGCGCCTTTCATTTATTACATTTGGTGAAAGTTTGAGCGCTGCATAGAAATTGGATTTCATATAGTTTTCCAGATAATCACGCAGATATATTCAACCAAATTGTGGAATTTTTGAATACTGTAAATGAAACTATGTCGTAGTAGTTGTGTAGTGTTTTCAAGTCATACTTTATTATGTTTTTATACTGAACTAAGCATGTTAATCATGTCGTCTACAGTATTCTTTGTTTAGTAAAAAAATAAAGATAAAGATTGAACAGGTATTTGTACAATAAGTACAGCAGCTGTATTGGTTACTACCATCAGAACCCAGGGGCAGATCCAGAGATGTCCGAAAGGGGTTGGTGCCAAAATGGGGGATGAAATTGGGGCCGATCAAGACAACACTAGCCCATGGTGTCTGGCTTTCCCCCTGCGAAATTTTTGTTAGGTGCCCAAAAATAACCTCTGATGAGGCATTGACATTGAGGGGGGATTTTATTCTGGGACTGTAACCAAGGCCCTAATCGCTCCTTGGTCTGGACTCCAGACTGACTTTTGGCCCTGTTACTGTTGAAGGAGCCAAATTAACTCTCATTTAACTAAGCTTAAAATCAATATAATGAAGATAAAATCATAATAATTCTCTCCATGTACACATTTTTATTCCTGGGTAGCGAAAGAGAGACAAACAAATAAAAGTGCCTTTGATTAGTGCTAAAGAGCAAAAATGGACAGTGTGGGAATCGAACCCATAACCTCATGAGTAAGGACCATAAGTCCTCAACATTATATAGAGAAGGCTTTCTTTACATTTACAAATGGCCAATCGATTTAGAGGTGATCATAATAATTGCTGCCATTAATATCTTTCTTGTTTAATATTGTGCATGTACCACAGTAACATATGATTACAGAAAGATCATAAGCAATAATTAAAACTGACACATTAGGGGAGAAATTGCCAGATAAGAAGACACCAGCTACTGTGCAGTACAATATGCAGTTGCATATTTAGGGAGGTGCTTGGAGGGTGCACACCCCTCCAAAAGTTACTCGCGCCCACCCAGTCATGTTCAAGTACAGTAGTTAGAAATCACCTAAAATAAACTTATTTTGCTAGTTAACGCCCCCTCAACTGATTACCGAGGCCCCCACTTCACCTTTGGACCCCATCAGCACCCCCACTTCAAGACCCCTACGCGCCACTGACTATATGCAAATACAGTTTTAAGTATAGGTACATTTATTTTAAGGAAGTGTTACAAAGGTTATACTTGAAAAAAAAACATAAGTCATAAATGTGAATTTGATATTTTAGTTCAATCTCAAGCAACAAAGTATTCTCTGTATGTAATTGACAATAACGTACCATTGTATTTGATTTCATAACATAAAATATAGAAATATGTTTGTTATTAGATATGAGTTTTGTAAAAGATAAAACAAATATGAATCCGAAGACAAAATGTAGAACAAAATTCCAAATTGACCATTAAGAACCATTAAACTACAGATCTTCTTGGATCGCAACACTTCAAAAAGTCAGAGAAATTACTGCTTATCAAGATTTACGTCTACAACGCGATATTTTTCCGACACTTGAATTTTCTTCAAGAACCTACTAGAAAGCATAGAGAAGTGTATTGTTGAACCGATAGAGATCTTGTTCCTTATTTGGTAGTGATGCTTACTGCAGAAGACCTAGTTTTTTTCTGGTAGTGTCTCCTTGTTAATCAGTACATGATTCAATAAGCCATGACTGTCTCCAAATGTACTTAAACATATGAATGAAGACATAAGTTGGATAAGTATCGCTTGAATGAATGAAGATTTTATATGAATATTTTATTTCTAATCCTTTATTCTGTGCTTGTTATTTTTATGAACCATCATTCTTTATAGTGTGCCCTCTATTTCATTTTTTTTTTGTTCATTTATTCAGTTTTTTTTAATCGATTTTAGTACCAATATTATTGATACTGTATTGTAAAAGTTTGTAATCATTTTGAGCCCATAAATTTACATCTTATAAGTGTGCTTTCCCATATATGTACATTCTTATTGAATATTCATATTTGAAAGTGTATTCTACTATATCAGTGGTTACAGTAATTCCTAATAGCCAGCTTGTGAGTGACAATGATTTGAATTTGCATTGAATTCAAATATGTGAAGAATTCAAATTCAAATACCACTTTTTACCTTTATTTAATATTAAACAATACAATAATTGTTACCTTATTTTATTCTCTTATATTTATATGCTAGTCCATTCTTACATTTAAACTTGAGGGCGCTGTTGATATGCCTGTAAAAATGCATACACCACATAGCACCAAGGCCTTTATGCACTTAAAGCACTGTCTACACTATCAATTTTATGACAAAAAACTGTTGTATGCCCATATATAGTCATGATGTGCCTATATATGGTCATGATGTGATGTCATCATGACCATATTTAGGCATGTCACCTGTTTTTGTCTATAAAATTTGATAGTCTGGACAGGGATGACTGAGGTCATGGGTCAGACACCTGTGGAATACTACTGAACTGCCTGGGGTCTATTCCATAATGTTGTGGCTATTAGCATTCAAACTTTCCTGTTATACTCATGGGGGTGGATCTCTAAAACGTTCTTTAACAGGTTATCCTTATCTAGTCGGTTATAGCCAGCTTCATCACATAAACGATCTTACGACTTTCACCCCTCCAAGATAATTTGCTGTAAAACAGTCTTAGCAGCCAATATGGATCAAAGCCTTTACTTTTCACTGATTATTTAATTAAAAAGATAATGATGTAATATATAGCACACCACCTAACAAATAATAGTAAGGTTCAATGAATGATATTTTGCCTTTAAAACCCCCAAAACATGTTGCTTTAATAATATAATACAGGTCTTCCTCCAATTAAAGGGGCTGAAGTTAGAAAATATATGATCATGGCACCTCTAGATGATTAGTTTTAAGGTGATGGGCTGCCTGGGACTTAGCAACTTTGGTAACTTAGAATAATAAAGATAAAAGACATTTGTTATTTTGGGACTGCAGAAAAGTGGTCTTTAATTGGTGGTGGTCTTAAATTTGGAGGGAGACCTGTACAGCCAAATAGGCCAACAAATGCTGAAGTAATACACAGAAAAAAATACAAATGATGAGGAGGATTTATTGGATTGAAGTGCATGATGGTTTGAAGGTATACTTCCTCGCTTTCTAATCTGTTACTTCCATTAATTTTCCATTAGGCAAAATTATTCCCTTGCATATGTTTACGCTCTTTCTAATTGCGTGTTACTCATTTTCGTGCGCATTACACATGAAATTGATGATGGCACTGTGATATTATTGAGATTGATAGATTTACTGTACAGTACAATACTCCAGATAGCCTACCAAAGTTTAAAAGACTTAACTGTATGAATATGAATATGTTTATAATACTATTACTTAAGCTGGGCACCCGCTGTGTCGTACGACAGCCGTATGACAGTGGCACGATGAATCCAACTCCGCTCCCTGTAAACGCTAGATGACGCTACACCGTCTATTGATTGGCGATGGCAGACTGAACGGATCGCCATTTTAAAAAAAACGATCTGTTGCACGCACGTCAACGCGTTACGTTCTCCATAGAATCGTGTTGGACTACGACCATCAGGCACAATGAGTACATTAAAGAAACAAAAACACCAACTGCAAGATTGAGGAACTTTATCATAATAACCACTGGCCTCTTAACACCCCATTAGTACAAGGTTTTTACATGGAAGATTATTATTTTAGTTTGACACCATTGATGAGTAAAAAATATCCCTTACCCTTGAGTGTTAATTTAAAAATTGAACTTGGTGGCAAATTCAAAAAGACCCAGACAGTCCATCACCTTCAAACTCATCATCTTGAGGTGGGTGATCATTTTTTTTATAACTTCAGCTCCATCTGTGAAAGTTCATCCTAGAACCCCTATTTAAAATTCCCGGATCCGCCACTGGAACTGTTTATATTTAATTACATTGATAGTTAATGTCTGTCTTCATATTGAAGTATTTTTCCCTTCTATTTCTGTACACTGTGCCTTTTAAAAATTAGAGCTCTAGGCAAGTTTCCATGCATACCATATAGTTATTTTTTTGTGCTATTTTCAGTTGTGTTATTAATTTTAAGCAGTGTATCTCTTACAAATTTGATGATGGTATTTTGTTATATAGATAGATTGATTGATTGACTAAATACAGTGCAGTGCTCTAGATAACCCACTAAAGGTGAATGAACAAGTGCATGTTCTCTCTTATTATTCTATGTTCGAACTAATGTCCATAGTACAGTTACCAATTCGACGTATGTTTCATATTCTACTCTATTTCAGCTTTGCATCAGAAACTTATTCAATGGTTTTTAATAATAGTTATAACCCTACATATATATGTGTGTGTGTATAAAAAATGTGAGTTTCAACAGTAGCTTTGATTTGACATTTTATTACAACTTGTACCACACGCAAGATGTGACATTATATTCAGATGAAATTTCCTATATTTATTTATTTATTTATGTATATAAATCATAGATATTTACATGTATTCATTTATTTAAAATGTTGCATCAAATTTGTAATTACATAGTTTTACAAGTTAAATTTTATCTAGTTTCAAAATTGTTTATGTAATTTGATCCTAAAATATGTATGAAGTGAGCCCTCTATATATTTTTTCATTTGGTAAATTTAGTATTGCTTTAGATTTTAAATATTTTATAAGAAAAAATGTTTAATTATTCATCAAAATCTCATTGTAAATTTAAAATGCTGTCTGAGGACACATTTGTAATAGAATGTGTTTGGTGTTGTTTTATAACCAAAGGTTGGCTTCCATGAATGTCTTTACTGTAGTAGACTAGTAATATGCAGATTTAACAAAGTGACTTTACAATTAAAGCCAATTTTCTCAAAAAATATATTTATAGACAGTACTGACTGTGTTTGAAAAAAAATAAAGTGAAATATGCAAGTTGTTTTTTTAATGAAATTGTTTTAAATTTCTTTGCCAATCAACAAAAACATCCAGATTTTCTTACAATGTTTTGTATCCTTTAATATTATATGATTGTCAGGTTTTTATAAGCCTACTGTAACAACTATTATTAGTATGTACTGTATGTTTAATAAATACATTTTATTTTAAAAGTACACTTGCAGTATATCTAGTACACATCAGAATGCAATTATAAAGATGAATAAATAATGTTTGAAAAAAATTCATTAAATAAATCATGGTTAATGAAGCCAATCTGCTTATGTAATTCCCAAACACACTCAACCTTCATGCACACTGCACTTGGATGAAAACTCATTTTAAACTCCTCTTGTATCTCCAAAGTTTTGTTCACCATATCAAATGTCGTAATGTCATAACTAAATGTGATGTGCCTCTATATGAGCATGATGTCATATTACACCCAAATATGGGTGTAATGGTATCACATTCATATATGGGCATGATGATATATTACATTCATATATGGACAGGATATATTACATCCATATATGGGTGTAATGGTATCACATTCATATATGGGCATGATGATATATTACATTCATATATGGGCAGAATATATTAGTTCTTTTTAGAACTATCTACGTGGTGTTTCAGTATGTTATTTTTTCGCAATGCAAGCCTTCAAACAATAATAAAATGTAATGTCTTATAGCGCATAATACAATAAAGTTGCTGCTATAGGCTTTGCATGAACAAAAAGAAAAACCATGAAATATTCTAATGAGTAAAAAGCTCCCTCTATAATATTTCACCAAAAATACCTCATCTGAATTCCCATCAGCTTATGATTTCATAGAATGTATAATAAATATTTTCTCTGGTGATTCTTCCATCAATTCACTGGGTGTTTTCCTTTGAACTACTATTACATTTTTTTTTTTATTAGTAATACCCAGGTTTTAACAGTTTTTCTATAAAATTAATAAATTTTATTTTATTTTTTATTTATTTAGTATTAAAATTCTCAATCACAGAGGGCAAGCTAGTGAGTTCACAAAAAGAAAAAAAAATAAAATAAAATAATATGCAAATGAATAAAATACTTAATTGAATTTACATTTTTTGCACCTCTTCACCATCAGATAGCCCCGAAGCTCACTCTCTGTATCGGTATGGTCAGGGCTGTTCAGACAGCATTCTGAATGATCCAGACAACCAACCCAGTGATGACTTGGATCGTAAGTAACATAACATGTTACAGCATTACTGCACTCATAGTTTGAATTGTACACTACATAAAAAAGTCAAAGGTTACTGTACACATAGTTTCATCAGTACTGTTAGTATGCTAAAGGTTATTAAGTAACTTTGTAAAAACTGAATAATACAACTATCTTCAAAAATTGTTTAATTACTAAAATTCTTTAAAATGCAGATTATCGTCATACAATGTTTTAAATTTTTATTCATAAATTGACCTTTGACATACATACACCATTGAAACTACTGTACAAGAGGGCTTATTATATTTGTTAAGATTTTTCTTTTGATGATCCAAAAATATTTTAATAATACTGTATGTTAACTTACATTTTTATTCTCGAGCTTTCACTGGTTTTCAATGCAGCTAAATCATGGGTGAGTTCATGCACCTTGGGAACGATTTCGTGAAATCTCGCTGTTGGTGTAGCGCCATCTATTGACTAATCAAGTTTCCCAAATGGGGTTGTCGTGGGGGAGTATGTTGTTATAGTTTGTGTAGTTCCAGTCTGCCATCATCTCTTTTCATGGTGTTTCTGTGTTTTCTTATTTTGATGGATCCTTTAATTTTTGTGTCCTTCCAATTCCAGTATTTTTACGTTACTCAAATATTTTTGGATCATCAAAAAGAAATCTTTACAAATACAATTTAGAGATCCAAATGAATCTTTTCACTAGGGCTTATTATGTTTTCTCATTCCAAAAAGAACATGCAGTACTAATGCATAATGGAAATAGAGCATTTATTGTGCTTTGAAATAACTGTACAGAGATAGTCCTATAGGCAAGCATAATTAGATTTACCCAGTGGATGTGTAACCTTCTCTTAAAGATGAACTGTACTTTGGTTATTTAGTATGTGAGTGTTTTTTTTGTAATGTTTTTTGAGTCATGAGTACTATTACAGCTACCATCTATAATTAAATTTAATAGATTAATTAAGTTGTTAGCCTAGCTTTATGTGCAGTAACATATGAAAAGGGGTGTGTTTCGGTCACTAATTACCACTATCAAAGCCAAGTTCCGGTGGGGAAACATTTTTTATGTAAGTTTCTTGATATGTTGTTGTTATTGCCCAGTCGCAAACTGCTTTTGTGTGAGCTCTTCATTCATTCATTCATTTATTTGATCAACAATCAATAAACTGTACAGACATAAAATTCAAATAGGAACAAGGACAAAAATTGAGAGATAGAAAGACTAGAAAAACGTCTTGTGAAAATGGTTAATAAAAAAAAAGTGATTAAGAGGACAAGATTGAAACAATGATTATCATATTAAGTATTAAGATAATTACAATTTAAACTTTCCAAAATGTTTGTTAAAAAAGTTTACAAAAGTAAAATTGTTGATTGTTGAGAAAATGTTTTTAAGGACTTAAAAAGCATTAAAATTTAAGAATTGAATTAACCAGATAAAACACATGAAAAATAAAAGAAATAAGACATGAAAAGCATTGATTATGATAAGGAAAGCCCAAAAAATAAATTACATACCTAGATTTATTTCCATTGGAGTCCTGAGAACATGCAACAAAAATGATAAGAAAAAAAAGACAAAGATTGGAAGATTATAACCCTCCCTGTCCCCTCCCCCGGATCAGACTAATCTCTCAGAGAAGACAAGTGCTCTTTCACAAGTTTCCTAAAGCTGCTGCTAGGTCTATTTGCTGTACTTTTCATAAGGTGTGGAAGTTTATTCCAATGTTTAATGGCAGAAGTATAAAATGTATTGTCGATGATCTTAGAAGAAAGTGGTGATGAGGCAATAAGGGTATGTTGATTTTCGGGGAAATCCTGAGAGTATCGTTGCTGTATGCAGTGTGCTGCGCATTTCATGGAAGCATGTTGGTTGACTCTGGGCTAATGTAGTGGTCGCCCAGGTTCTCAAACAAGATTTCAAACACTAAAGGTCAGCTGAAAACTCACCAGGATTTCTCAAAGTGAGGCAAATCAATCAGAGGCATATGCTTGTTTCAGCCTTTGTGGTGGGGGTGGGGTATGGGGTGTGAATTATTGAGAACTAAATCCCTATTCCAATGAAAACATTTCATATTAGTATTTTACCCATTAAGTGGAACTAATTTGCTGACAGATATACAGTAATATAGTGTCTGTATTGAAAAGCCAGTTATCTGTTGAGTATAAAAAAAAATGACTAAAAAAAAACATAATTTGTTACTACATCTCTAAGTGTTATGCAATTATTCAAATAGTATTTCTCAAGCATGGAATATGGAGCCTAAGTGAGATACAACATATACTTGACCAGACAGATGGTGACAAAACTGACACCTATACTTCGCAAGTGACAACGAATGTGACAACTAAATCTGTGCATTAGTGGTGGAGCGTGCCAGGTTATAAATATGTACATCTCTTTTGTCACGTCACGTAGTAGTCACATAGGACTCCAGGATGTTAGAGCACTGTCTTGCGCATTTTCACACCTTCTGTGGAGTTGTCAAATACTTGTAAATTACTAAATAACGTGACGCCGTTACGTTACTTCAGGTTTTCAGGTACAGAGGTAACTTGCGGGAAGATCATGAATCAATAATGCCAAAGTAAATTTAAAGCTTAGGAATTGAGTGATTTTATTTTAAGTGTTGTAAATTAATGATTAGGAAGTGATGAAAAAGTAAGGCCAACTGTAAAAATATAATTAGCGCCTACATTAAGATTCACCTTCTGTTGTGTTTGTATACAGTATGTTTTTGCAAGGTCGCTCAATATTAACAATAAATAGATACTGCAAATTTGAGTAAATTTAAAGCAGTCTTTTTGCGAGAGTGGAGCGTTGAATCTACTGTCAAGTGCCATGGGATTTGCAGTCAGTGTTGCATAGTAATATAATGCATAAACTAACTAATCCGAACATGTGCTAATTTTCTTTGTAGTATCGATTAAACATGTTTGAATGTAGGTGAATTAGATACCTGATTAACACTCACTTTTTGGTAGGGAGGGGATCAACAATTGCTTTTTTTTTACACATGGTCTATTAAGTGCTTTAATTAGGATGGCATGATCACCATTTTGTACAATTCAAACTGGTTCCTTAATTCTATTGGTGCAATAATTATTGTAAACCATGGGAAAATATTGGCACAAATTTTAGTTTTATGCAAAAGGATAAAAAAAGAAGAAATTCAGACTATCTCTCATAGAGATTACCATTTTCCTTGACTTTTTTTACTAGGCAGATTCAAGGATTGTAGATCACATCCGCTGGAATGCTCTCGCTTTTGCGTATACTTTTAATACAGTCAATAAAGTGCGCCCTCTCTAATGAGATTAGTTTTTGTACTTCACATCTCGCACACTGCGGTCGATCAAGTAGGCGTGAGATATGTTTGTTTTTTTCGCAGACATATTGCAAAATCAAACATATAAAAATTCATGCATGGTTATTTTTTGTGTAGAACACAAAAAAACCAAATTTCAGTCTTATTTTACATTTTTTGTTTGTTTAGAAATGTCTAAATCCTGGTAAACTAGCAATTTTGTATTATATTTATAAATTTTTATAACACATATAAAAATCAGATTTTTCTTAACGACTGAAATTTTGCTGGGAATGAGGTTTTAACTTTGAATTGCATAGTGACATCGGATGGAATGATGGTTAAAATTCCTGTCATTCATAACCTGGCGTAAGAATGTCTAATGCATAGGAAGTTACAGTAACTGCTCTTGAACTTTCGTTCAACTTTTCACCTTGTCAATTGTCAAACCTTTTGGCATCATCCAACAATACCTTATATTTTTTTCTCTTATTTTAGTTTTTTTTAATATCCATGTTTGATAAAAAAAAAATCTAAAAAATAATTCTGACTATAATAGTAGCAAAGCCAGAATTGTTGATTTATAAAGCTTTGTCCAGGCACAAATTTTCTTAAATGACATAACATCACATCATATATAGGAACATCATGACTGGCATACAACAGTTTTTTGTCAAAGAAAACCTGATATCTGAACAGAACTTAACAATAACAATATTCTTAATGCTAATAGCATTGCTCAAAATGCATCAATCAATCTCTTAGTAGATGCACCTGATAACAGGTGTAACAAGATGTCAGACCTTGCTTAGCAATTTCCACGTATGTAATCAAGTTATGTGATTTATGTTCTCATTAAAGTATCAACAATTCAGGACGTGTACACTATCCACCAACTGAACCAGAGATGTGAAGAAGTGAAAAGCGGAAAACAACAGGCAGTTGTATATGGCATTGTGTATGCTGCCCTCACATGCTTCAATCTCGATGGTCCTCTGCATACTGTTATATCCTACCGCTGGTAAGCTACATGTGTATACTTTAGTTTTGCTGTAGTTCATGACTATAACATTCCTTTATGAATATTCATTATATGTTTTTTTTATAAATAATAAATAAAATAATGAATATTCATTTAGCTAAATGAATAAACAAAGCATAAATAGCTCATGTAATTATTTACTATTTTAGTTGTTACTCGAAGTCATAATCTCCAATTTAGAGTTACTGTACATGCAAGAGTAGTAATCACCATAGATTAATCACTTTTCACAGTTTAATAGTTAGGATTTGATAAATATCAAGAACGTTGTCTTAATTTATGACCTTATTTTAGTATAATCATATCAGATCGCATTAAATCGAGCTGTAGCATAATTATGGTTAAGGTGCTCAGCTTTCATTCCCAGAGTCTTCGGTTCAAATCCTTCAAATACAATAGATATTTTTTAGGCCATGTCCAAACCATCAATCTTTATTTGACAAAAAGCTGTACTACTGTATTTATTTGAAAAATTACCCTGGAGCATTTATTTTTGAGATAGCTTTTGAAGGGAGGTTTATACGAGGGAGCAGTTTAAATTTGTTTATTTGAGGGAGGCGTTTAATTTTTTGGTGTAAAATAGATACGTATAGACCCAAATAGACGAACATAAATCCACTGTACGACACATATTACACCATCAAATTGTGTTAATGCGTAATCATAAAGACTTATTGATTCCAATAATGTTAGGAAAAATGTAATTCTGCTGTATTAAAACATTAATAGAATGTGTTGAGGATGATGTTGCTACCATTAGGTTTGTTTTAAGGGGAGGGGGCATTTATTTGTGGGAAAAAAAAAAACGCTTTGGAGAGAGGAGTTTATTCCAAATGAGGCTCTAAAGGAGGCGTTAATTTGAATAAATGTGGTATATGAATTCATAATGTGCCTATTTATGGTCATAATGTTATATCACCATGACCATATTTAGGCATGTCACATGTTTTTGTCAAATAAAATTTGATAGTCTGCATAGGGCAGACTATCAAATTTTTGGAAAAGAGCAGCTACACTTCCAAAGCCAATTTTAATGTTAAAACATGTCCGTCAATGTATATATGGTATTCATGTATGGTATTCACGCAGACTGTTACATCAAGTTTTCCAGAACAAATTCTTTCTAGCGCTTGCTTTTCATAAATTTCCCTCGTTTATGGTAATTAATCTCGCTGGAAATTAGAGTGCTAATATTCTTGATAGTTTTAACTGTTTTAAAAAATGCATTTCACAATTCTGTTCGTTATTTTTAAATTGTTTTAATAGGCATTTTATTTTAATTGCAACATTTTATTGCTGATCTGTTTAAAAATCTTTTATGTTGGTTTTTTGCAGTATGTATACTTTGATGTACAGTCAACATGTTGACTGTCAGACCTTTTTTTAGGTTCCTTCAGTGCCAAAACAAGTTTACATGCGCAAACATACTTTTTTTGATCATAATTTTATCTAGTCATATGTCATCAAAATGGTGTGTCTAATAAATTGGCCGGAAAATATAATAGTTGACGAGTAACTTGTCGTGCACCACTTTTTATTGCCTCTGCCAAGTCCGAGTTTTCTCATCAGCTTTTTGCATAGGTTGGTATATGTTAAGAGGGCGCCCCCACTCATGCAATCGAGTATACTGCCAGTAACATAACACAACAAACATACATACGTTATTTGTACGTTATCGTCTGCTGTAGGTGTGCCTTCCCCGAAGTACCAGCTGTTAAGTCTGTGGTTCTACAATGTATAACAAAGAAATATTAAACACTTGAATGTTACCCCGATTTTGACGAGTATAGTCATCCCTAGCGACCTCAGCAATACCAAAGATACTAGAAATACAAGATAGAGCACTCGCATTGTAAAAATGAGGCGGAAATTGTGCCCAACGTAGGCGGCGCCCTTCTTTTTAACTGTGCAAGTTTTGTACACTTCGTGCCCAACGTACAGGGCGCCCTTCTGTTGCTAAGTATATCCAGACGCACACGGCGCCCTTCTTTTTCCACTAATGGAGGAAAATTTTATCACTAGAGTGCGTCTGGACATACGATTTAGCGCTATTATTGTTGTTTTCTATACTGATCCATAGGCTTAATTGTGTGTTTTATTTAGATAATAGCAACGATTTCTACCTCCGCCAAGGAATTATGTACTGACCGTTGTCACTGTCTGGGTACAATTGTACTAATTGTACATATGTGTACAATTTTTTAATTGAGAATTGACAATAAAATACGCGACGACTTGGTAACGAAAGTTTGGTTGAAGTTTTTTTAGATCCAGTCGTACGGGGTGCCCCATTGTTTGTATTCCCACCATGCATTTCGGTAGAACACGGTGGAACACTTTTTTTGTGGAGAACTCTATCTTGTATTTCTAGTATCTTTGGCAATACCCAGTGGGACAAGTATACGCGGTCCTGGCGGCGAGTCTGTTAAGATTTTCAGTATATTAGTTTTACTTGATAGTGTTTGTACTTTTGGCAATCCTCAGGTAATGAACATCTTGTTTGTATGTTTTGTCATGGAAAGCATTTACCTGCATATTAAATAAATTAAATTATATAAATGACTGATAAAAATGTCATTGTTTTTTCTCTTGTGTCCCATTGCAAATAAGCAATTCAATAATTTACTTTAATTTTTTAGAGTTTTCCAAATTTTTCTATAGACTGTATAGCAATAATGAACACTCAAAAGCACTGCATCTTATTCTCTCTGCCCATCAACATGATATTTTAAACGCCATCCATTAAAATTAGATATTCTTTTCTGCATTGGCTAATTACGATGCAGTAAAAACAATACGATGATTGCTTTTGACGTCAGTTTATCATGCATGCACTGCTGAGCAGTGAAACCCAAAGCCTACTTAATTTCTTTCATAATTTATCGCCAAGCCAGTCTCATCCAACCTGTGCTTCAAATTTAATCGGTTTTCTATTTCCATTGTTGCTAAATCCTTGACAATTTTAGCCTATCCGTGACATGTAGGCTTTTCTTGTATAACAGTGGTGTATTGGGGAATCTTCAAAATGGGAGGCTGGCTCGATAATTAAATGAAGAGGAACTAGCCTGCAAAATAAGATGATATGAGATGATTTTTAACCTCTTGAGTCTGATCTTTCTTCTTCAAGCATTTTAAAGGGGAGGAAGGGTTGAGCTGGTTGAGTGCAGCCCCTCGTAATCTGTGTGAAGTTGTTGCCGACTTCTTATTTAAAAAAAAAAAAATACTTATTGTGAAAAACCGCCAATAATAATTGGTATTAGATGATGATTAAATATAATATTACTATAGTTACTTATGAATACATTACCTTTCTACTACGTGGCAACAAACAAGTACTAAACACATCTTAACTCTAATTGGTCTAATATGGTGAATACATTATGTTTCTACTACGTGGCAACAACCAAAAATTAGACTACGTGTCAAAGCTTATTTGCATTTTCTCAAAAATTGTAAAGAATTCAGCATTTATCCCAAGTTTATATCATTTAATTTACTTATGAAATTTTACATATTGTTTTATTTGTCAGTTTATACTTTCTGTTCTCTTGATTAATTTGTATATTTGTATATTTTATTTTATTTTCATTTTTTTTAAATGTTGGCTTTTAGGGGGTTGGAGAATCACTAGACAGTTGATTTAACACTATTTTTTTATCATCCCATCTACACCTTGATTCCAAAGACAAAATAAATTAAATAAAACAGCAATTTTGGGTCTCTATTTACTAAATGCATAGTCATTTAAAATACGCATAACACAAGGAAAAGCAGTAGAAAGGAGGACATAAAAAGGGTTTCTACATATAAAAGAACAAAAGAGCAGAAAAATGGAATTGTAAGAAAATTAGTACAGTATATTGTAGTAACTCTAATGTCTGTCTCTTATACACATCTAGATGTGTATAAGAGACAGGGTATCAACATTAAAATTGTTTTTTCTTATACACATCTAGATGTGTATAAGAGACAGTGCATGCACTGCTGAGCAGTGAAACCCAAAGCCTACTTAATTTCTTTCATAATTTATCGCCAAGCCAGTCTCATCCAACCTGTGCTTCAAATTTAATCGGTTTTCTATTTCCATTGTTGCTAAATCCTTGACAATTTTAGCCTATCCGTGACATGTAGGCTTTTCTTGTATAACAGTGGTGTGTCGGGGAATCTTCAAAATGGGAGGCTGGCTCGATAATTAAATGAAGAGGAGCTAGCTCGCAAAATAAGATGATATGAGATGATTTTTAACCTCTTGAGTCCGATCTTTCTTCTTCAAACATTTTGAAGGGGAGGGAGGGTTGAGCTGGTTGAGTGCAGCCCCTCTGTGGCCCAATCTGTGTGAAGTTGTTGCCGACTTCTTATTTAAAAAAAAAATACTTATAGTGAAAAACAGCCAATAATAATTGGTATTAGATAATGATTAAATATAATATTACTATAGTTACTTATGAATACATTACCTTTTTACTACGTGGCAACAAACACATCTTAACTCTAATTGGTCTAATATGGTGAATACATTATGTTTCTACTACATGGCAACAACCAAAAATTAGACTACGTTTCAAAGCTTATTTGCATTTTCTCAACAATTGTAAAGAATTCAGCATTTATCCCAAGTTTATATCATTTAAATTTACTTATGAATTTTTACATATTGTTTTATTTGTCAGTTTATACTTTCTGTTCTCTTGATTAATTTGTATATTTGTATATTTTATTTTATTTTCATTTTTTTTTTAACATTGGCTTTTAAGGGGTTGGAGAATCACTAGACAGTTGATTTAATTCAACTTTTTGATCATCCTGTCTACCTTTTAATAGGTCATTTGATTATGTATGTATGTATCTTTCTTTGTTGTGTCCCAAAAACGAAGTAAATAAAATGAAAGTGAAAACTGATTTTTTTTTCCTATTCCTTTTTAAAGTGCATCTTGTAAACGGCGAGTCAACCGTCAAACTGGTCTTTGTAGCAATACCGAATGTACCGTAGATACCTCCGATGACTCGCCAGTACCAGTATTTGATATGAACCTTGCCATATCCGATCACACCGGTACTATCGATAGCTGTCGACTGGGGGGCTCTGTAGCTGAACGCGTTTTGGAATGCACGGTAAGAAGCTAACTGCAATCAAGGGTGGCCGAGCTGGCCCGGGGGACCCCCCCCCCCCCCAAATTTTTCGAAATTATATTTTAAAAATGGGAAAAAATGTAATTATAATCAACTTTATGTCTGAGAGTACCATTTCCGGCAATTTAGAAGTGCCATAATCATAAATTTTCCCCAACCATTGTGGTGCTGATGTGTATGTAGACCCTGTATCTGTGAAAATCCCTTCCTGGGCCCAATCTATTTCGAATTCCTTGATCCGCTACTGAAATTAATCGCTTAATCTTGTTAACAAGTTTGACCATCTTTGGGATAGGATGGAAGTTAATATTGTTTATTCAATGTATCTTCTTTTCTAAACAAAGTGCTGAAGCTTTAACACGTTGATGTTGATAATGGCTGCATCTGTGAAGGTGGAGGTAGTGACGATGTTGATGAATTGATAAACATGAAGATAATTATATCATGTATTGATAAAAATAATAATAAAGATGATGATGAATTGATTAATGAATATGATGATGATGAATTGATAATAATGATGGTGATGATAATGCTAATAATAATGAAAATGATGATGATGAATTGATAATGATGATGTTGATGATAATGATTTTAACAAATATAATGATGATGAATTGATAATGATAAAGATGATGAGAAGGAGGGCAGTAGTGATAAAATATATGTTTGATGGTATTATTAATGCTTAAGGGTGAATATGAGGATGAGTATAGTGACGATGATGAATTGATAATAATGAAGGTGGTGATAATGTTGATATTAGTAATAAAAATGATGATGATGAATTGATACTAATTAAAATGATTAATAATAATTATCAAGATGATGAGTTATTAATGATGAAGATGATGATGATAAATTGATAATGGTGATGTTGATGATAATGATTATAACAAAAATAACATGATAAATTGATAATGATAAAGGCAAAACTTTTTTATAACTTGTTTAGCGAACCCGCCGACTGCAAATATAGATGATTTGAAATGAAAATAACATTTAATTTTTTGGCAATTAGCGCACCAACCGGCACGAAAAAGTGGAAATTTCAGAAAAAAATAAAATGTTTTCTTTATTTTTATTACGCCCTCCGCTGCCTTTAAATCTCCAAGGATAAGATATGTATATTTCTTCCTAATTATATAAATTTGAAGCATTTAACCATCCTATTTTACATTCACCAAAAAAATTATATTTTTATTTTCTCCATCTGGATGATTTTAGCAAAAATATTTGCTAAATAAGAAAACAAAATTTTATTTTTATATTTATTCCGCCCTCTTCCTTAGTCTATAAAAATTATAAGTACGCGAAACAAGGAATAAAGAAAGTCTTGCCTAAAGATGGAAATTAGGACAACAGTGATAACAAAAATATGTTATGATGGTAGTATTAATGCTTAAGGATGAGTATGGTGACTACAGAGATCTCTTTGCTTATAATGATTTTGAAAAGTGATAGATGGTTATGTTACCATGGTGATCATGATGACATTCAATATTTTGTTCATGATTTATATAACTCAATAAACTCCATCAAACTTCATCTTTGAGATAACACTCCTTGCTTGACTGCCAACTCGTCATTTCTTACGATTGCGATCAACTAAATTATCGTTGCTAGGCAGCGGACTTCTGCATGATGGATGACGAAGAAAAAACGGAGAAGAAATGGAAATATTTGCTGGAAATGTGCAAGGTTTTCTTCAAGGTTTGTATTCTAAGAAATTGATGGCATTACTTTAATTCAGTTTTTCTAAATCCTATCTAAAATGGTAAATCTCAAATGTTCAGATATTTTATTTCTTCAAGAACATGATTTATTTCAGACAAAGGTGAAATTATGGTTAGATATGATAAATGTAAAATTGTACTATGATTTAAAGTTGATATAAATTTTTTTTTCTGGCTATTTTTTTGAATTTCTGGCTTTGGCATGTAAAATAGTGGAATAACAGACAAAAAAATAACTACATTTCACTCATCGCAAAAATCTATATTTAGTTTTTAAAACAGAGTTAAAAATGAACATGAGAGCTATAAAATGGTAAAAGAATCATTTAAATCCGACCTTTCCTTATGAAGTTACAAGCTTTTAAACTTAAAACTAACTTGTTTAAAGAACAATATTTGAGAAATCAGCCTTCAAAGTTTATTTCAGGCATTTCTCAGGTAGAAACCATCAACAAATTGTTAAAAAGTGTTGTTTTAACATTGAAGATGGAAAAAATAACACCTTATCATGATGAATAGATGTATAAAGGTTAGTTTAGTGCAATGAAATAGATTTCAACAATTTTGACATTTCAGTTTTGGGCACTATCTCTAAAACATGTTTTGCATATATATGTGTGTGTACTGTATGTATATGTGTACCAATATGTATACAATACATACATATAAAAAATTCATACAATATTAGAAACATAAATATGATACAATTTATTTGCCAACAGCTAAGCCCAGCTATGCGGGACTCAGGTCTGGTGGTGATGATTCGAGTTTTGTCCTGCTCCAGAGCAGATCAACAAGAGGCTGCCAGCTACATACAGTGAAGGCTAGACTGCCAAGCATCTGGAATAGACATAATGGTAATGATGCTTGTTGTGATTAATATGTTTATATTAAATAAAAGCAATGATGGTTGTTGATAATGCCAAATATTAATATCGGAACATTTACGTTGTCTGTAGTACAATCTGGAAAATCAATCATATATTCTATTAAAATATTCAAAAAAATTATCTATTTCGACACAGATTATTAACATCAGTTACACTAACCATTGTTGTTGTGTATTAACCCTGGGCAAGTGGTTGCACCAGCGGGGGTAGGGGCATTTCTCTCCTGCTGGACAGGTCTAGGCGCCCTGTCGTCCGACGCGATGGCTAGGTTGTCGGATCAAGAATAAAAAAAATTATAATTTGTTTATCCAAATAATGTTAATTTGATTGCTAATCTCTAATATTGTGGTCTAAAAGCACAATTTGGACCATTCTAAGCCATAAAAACTCTACCTGTGAACCTTCCAGGCTATTAACCGAGGCTCTAGTCGGCCCCTTCATCGGACATGTCGGATTCCTTGTTGGCAAATTTCTGGCGCCACCACTGCCCTGGTCATTGGATTATTATAGCAAACTGAAACACATTTAAATTTTCATCACTCCTTGGGAGGTATACTTGATCGTGCAAGAGCTAATATATTCATTGCTACATCATCGTAACAGGTACACTTTGCACCCCTTAGGTAGGGAGAGACAAATGTAAGTGATGTGCCTTGCCAAGGAACACCAGCAAATTTTCTTTTGAGAGGTTTGAACAATATGATCTTAAGGTTGAGAACTTGATCTGGAAATGCTGCTCCAAAATATATGACTTTATAGTGCCGGTTGTCCATGGTGGTTGCCAGTTAACACTTTAGGATGTTGGTGTAATGTTCAAGGCTGTCGATGATTGTTTTGGAGTTGTTGTCGACTGTTACAGGGCCACCATCTTCGATGAAGCCAATTGTTTTGCCAAAACCATGCTGGAGCTGATGAGGTGTGATCGAGTCAGGGAACTTGGACCCTTGTTGGGGAGTCATTGGCACCACCACTGACTGGTTGTTGACCATAAGATCATAATGAATTCCCAGATTCTTGGAGCATACAGCACCAATAACTTAAAAGATGGACAGAGTGTGCTGAAATAACTTGCATTTCAGCCATTCAGCTGCAACACAATGAGAGCAGCAACAAAATTGGAAGTCAAATTCAAGAATCTCCATGGTTCTCAGTGCAAACATTGCTACAATTTAGCAGATTCTCCTTATTATTCATCAACAAAAACTATCTTTTATACCAATAACTCTCTAGGAAATTGGTAAAATATAGGAATGGAGGTTAAAGGCCTGTTTACACTATGATGGTAACTATTAATGATAAATTCAATTCAATCTTTATTGGTCCAATACATAAAAAATACATAGGAAAATCTTGGTTTGTTTGTAGGAAATTCAAAAAGCTAAAAAGCAATTTCTCATATAGAAAATAATGATTTATCATGTATATGGTAAAAAAAAAAATTTCACAAATCAATTCAAATAACGTTATCAAAAAATCGTTATCGAATCATCCTAGTGTGAAAACTTCTTATTTCTTTTATTTTCTATATGTGGCAAAGACAAGCCAAACCAGTCACCCGTCGCAAATCGTGTTTCAGAGAAAATGGCCAAATCATGCAGGAATGTCAAATTTTTGAAAATCTATTTTATTGCACTAAACTATCCTTTTTATCCTTTCTATGCTGTTATTTTCCCAATGTGCAGTGTTAAAACAACATTTTTTAAGGATTTGATGATAGCATGAGAAATGCCTGAAATCATAAACTTTGAAGGCTGATTTCTCATATATAGTTCTTTAAACAGCTGTGTGTTTAAAAGCTTGTAACTTCATAAGGAAATGTCCGATTTGAATGATTTTTTTTACCATTTTATAGCTATTATTTTACTCTAACACTGTATTAATAACTCAAAATCAATTTTTGTGACAAGTGACTGGCTTGGCTTGTCTTTGCCACATATGAACAATTGCTTTTTAGCTTTTTATCATTGATCGTTATCGTCATAGTGTAAACAGGCCTTATTAATGTTGCTGTCTTGATTCCAAGTAAAATTGTTTATTTGTAGTGCATTGAGAGCAGTAAATTCATTCATCTACTCTCCAACCTTCGAATAGATTTCGACTATTTATTTTGTAGAATCACATGGAATTTTAGACCTTGCTGCTGGTTTACCAATGCCTAAATGGTTTTACTGCAAAATATATCTCTGACTTGCTAAACATCAAAGAGGGTATTCAAGAATTAAGTTCTAGCCAAGAAGCACTCATGGACATCCCAAGGAGCAATCATAGCTGGGGGGATAAGGCTTTCAGTACTGCCAGACCTATGCTGCTGAATAAATTTATTTTATACATTAAAAACCCATCTTCACATAACAGTTTTAAGTCACTACTCAAGACATACCTTTTTACAATCTCTTTTTTGGAATGGCACTATGAGCAATGACTATTGGAATGGCACCATAAAAGGGAACAGTTGATTAAATTTGCCCAATATCTATCAGAATAAAAGTTAGTTTGTATTTGATTAAGCACCATGGCTCCTGTGTGTTATTATCTGTCTCTTATACACATCTAGATGTGTATAAGAGACAGGATGTATAAAGGTTAGTTTAGTGCAATTCATTCATCTACTCTCCAACCTTCGAATAGATTTCGACAATTTATTTTGTAGAATCACATGGAATTTTAGACCTTGCTGCTGGTTTACCAATGCCTAAATGGTTTTACTGCAAAATATATCTCTGACTTGCTAAACATCAAAGAGGGTATTCAAGAATTAAGTTCTAGCCAAGAAGCACTCATGGACATCCCAAGGAGCAATCATAGCTGGGGGGATAAGGCTTTCAGTACTGCCAGACCTATGCTGCTGAATAAATTTATTTTATACATTAAAAACCCATCTTCACATAACAGTTTTAAGTCACTACTCAAGACATACCTTTTTACAATCTCTTTTTTGGAATGGCACTATGAGCAATGACTATTGGAATGGCACCATAAAAGGGAACAGTTGATTAAATTTGCCCAATATCTATCAGAATAAAAGTTAGTTTGTATTTGATTAAGCACCATGGCTCCTGTGTGTTATTATTTCATATACAGTTTTGCAGCCTATTGGTCTGACTTAATTGCCATGTACTCCCCGGTGGATTTTACAGGACCTAATGACGTTAACGATTAATATAATGATGTTCTTTATTGTGTGATGTCTACCATATTTGGTGAGGTTAAAAGTGCTCATCATTAACATTGGTAATATGTATGCAGATGATGATTATGTTTTACCCAACACATTAATAGAACGTCTATTTATATCGACCGTTTCCGCCGACAATCCTAAGCATGTGCTCCCTTGTGGATACCGTTCACGACTTGATTAGTGGGTGAAACGTTGATAATACATAGCCTATAACACATCACCTACTCTACGGAAAACAATTAAGCTTTCTATTCTTGTAATAAATTAACACGGTCTGTCGACATAGCATCACCGGCGGACACATCCACTTGCTGCAGTAATTATTAAAGTAATTTACAGATATATATCGAGGGAACAAGTTGACTTATTCTGTCCGGGGAATAAGTTGACCCAGTCATTAGAATGCTTGATTCAGTGTTTGACTAAAAGTCTATCAAGTTCTTCACTTTTAGTTATTCTAAAATTATTATTATCTATTTTTTCTAGGCGACTGTGAGCCATTTTCAATCAGATAAGTTGGAGTACATGATGGCTCTACTGTCTAGAGGATTCGTACGATTACCTATGGTGCTGTGTGTTGTCACTGGAGTATCAAATTTCATTGAGAGTATCAAAATGATGATGAGAGATGTACAACAGCAATATATATTATTTAAGAAGTTGCAATTTGATTGTGTTTGAAAATATATTGTTTGTGTGATGCACACTGTTGATTGATGTTTACTTTTTATATTTATTATAATAAAGTTTCAAATTGTACTTTTTGATTGTTGTTTCTCATTCTTGTTGGTATACTTGGTAACACAGCTAGTGTGAAGGGGATAGCCTCCCACCCCAATGCTAAACTTCTTTAATAATCATGATATAAACCGCTTTTTAAACCATATTTAATGAGAGCTTTTATATTCAAGCTCAAGTCCATTATGGTAAACTCATATTACCTTGTTTTGCGAGTTAGCATCCCTCACTTAATCTCCAAGCCCCAACCTCATCTTCGCCTAGATACGCCCAATGGTAGAATCATTTTGTTCCCTTCCCCCCCCCCCCCATTTTCTAAATTATAAAAAAAAATGGAGAAAACAATAAAATTATAATCAAATATAAGTCTGATACTGCCATTTCCGACCATCCAGAGGTGCCTAATCATAAATTTTCTTTCCTTAGCCCCAACCATGGTGGGACTGAAGGGGTGGACCTTCTATCTGTGAAAACCCCTCTCTGGCCCACTTCTATTACGAATTCTTGGATCCGCCACTATCAACAGCACTGAATATTCAGGGACCCTTAAATAAACAGCAAGGGTAGCCAACGTAAGTGGGTTCCTTCTGGCGGTCATTTGGACAGTTCACCAGGTGAAAATCCCTTCATTTTTTTCCAAAGAGTGTACTGTGCTGTATTCTTTAAGGTGCACACCAACACCAGCAGTAAACGTTCTGCAAAACCACCAAGTATACACAGTTCCACTTACGTATGGAAGAAAGTACCCTACCACCTTTGATATCGTTTTGATCAGGGAACAGTTAAATTGGTTTTGATGTAATAATTTTGAATCCTAACACAATGGCATTTCTGTCTTTCTACCCTATTTATACTTCTGAAAATCACAAATTATAATAATATTATCGGCCTACAACAAATATGAAATTTATGTGGGTGGGGAATTGAGGTTTCTACACAAAGGTTTTGGTACGTAAAAAAATTATGAAATTAATATTTTGGTCTTTATATAGGATGTCTGAAAACATACTTTTTGCAGAGAACATCATCTCGAACGATTTACGACTTTCACATTTCCTGTTGGCTTACCTATCCTATCGATTGCTGTATCTGATAAAAAAAAAACTTTACAAAGTTTAAAAACACTGACCCTATTTTAGTTTAGTTTAAGGAGTAGGTTTTTTTTTTAGTTTCATAAAATAACTTCAACTTTCTTTTTTCTCAAAATGTCCAACTGAAAGAGCTCAATCACCAAGCGCATAGAGGCTTTTTCGCATGATGCACTCTACAAATCCAACTATTATTTATTATTATTATTATTTTTTATTTTAAAAATATGACCACATACATATTTTCTTTAACTATATATCAAATTTACCATATAATACAACACGACTCGTGTCACGATACCTTACTTAGTATTTCGTAGTTTGTTAGTTCTCTGAAAGCAGCTATTTTAGGCCTGCGCGTTTCCACGTAAGCCTATTGTGATCTGGCTTAATTTTATATTTAATTGATTATGATTTGTTGTCAGGAGGTTCACGTTGTTGCGTATTACTCAATAACGCCAGTAACGACGTTGTTTGCATTGAATAATGAAGATATAATCTTTAAGCCATGATTAAAAGAATTCAACGTCACGTCAAGAAATCATAAATAAATTAAATCTCAGCAAATTATAGATGTATATATAGTCATATAGTACATTCATCTTGTTAAGCGGTGAAAGTGTCTAAAATAGAACTTGACCGTTCATTAAAACTTGTTAAGGTTACGTTATGTACTTGACAATTCGGAAAACATCATCCCGTTGCAGGAAATAGAAGTTTATTAAATAAAATTAAGTACTGTACGCGGCAACAAATTGAAACAATGTTAGTCAGTATTTTGAAGGTCCTATTCCGAGAAATTTGTGATTTTTCTTCTCGCGTTTTGGAGAAATAATTCACGGTGTTGGATTTTTAATGATTGCTCAATTTGCATTAGTTTCAACTGACAATCTAATAGAACATTATTATGGTGAATTTTTTTTTCGTAGGTCTTACCCTTTTTTTGTAATATTTATTCATACTGTTAGAAGCCTATGGAATTTGGGTGTGGAGCCCACGCCTTTCTTACGAACCTTACACAGATGAAATGTTAGTGTAGTCTGCTTGTGACAAGATTTGAACCCAGGAGTTAAAGCAAACATCGTAAATAACATTCGTTACAATTGGTACATTGCTGCTGATTCCTCAAACTCAACAGCATACAGAATCCGTAAACATACGAACGTAAACCTGTATGTTTGTGGAACATGCGCATAATTCAGCTCCAGTATTGATTGATACTCCGTTTAAAGTTAATAACCAGTATAATAGATGTTGTTTCATGCATATCTAATTTACAGTAATTGTTTATTTATTGTTAGTGCAACTTTGAGACTGATTTCGACAAAAGCAGATTGGCCATATCTAAACCTCGAACCTTCACATCGATGGTTCTATTTTCCCAGGCAAAAAACTTCTTTGATTTTCCTACCATGTGACTCGTGTATTCTAAAATGTAGGGCCTTGATATACAAAGGTAAAGAAGAGGAATTTACAAGTGTTGAAAATCGTCCACTATACGTTGCTAGTATTGCCAACTACATTTATTCATTATATATACTTTTATTTAACAATGTATTTATTTATTTATAGGACAACATTTGTTGAAAGCTCTGCTACACGGTGTACCATTATGTCCTTTATTCGAACACTGTTTACCTTTCTTTATATATGGTACGTCACGGCATTTACTGTAGAATACCGTATTATACGAATACAATTGCTCGTCATAGCCCAGTCACGAAAGTATCAACTTTAAAACAAAAGTGAAACTATTTTCGGCAATTTTTAAACATCAGAGTATGTCTTGCTGCCAGCAAATTACAGTTGTTTCCTGTATTAATTTTCATATAAAATAAGTTAGCCTGGTAATACCAACAATGTTTCTCGATTACCGGTATCAAGTCTTTTTTTCTTTTGTTGTTTTAGTAATACCGGTAGTAATAGTAAGCCTATATATAGTTCCCAAGTCTGCGACTTGTTGCTAACCATCCCACTTGTGTCTATGGGTATTACCTTCTCCTGAGCACAGTGTCCGGTCATGGTCGGACCATGAAGTTATTAATATATACCGGTAATAATTCCACGGTTGGACCAAAGATTCCTCTTCATACTTCAGTGAGAATACATACGTTTTATGACATCCTAAAGGAAATTGATCAGACAATGGATTAATGTGGGCCAGGCTTAAAAAAATTAATTGATGTGTGTGTGTGCTGATCAGGGCAATGCATTGAAGACTATATATACTGAGTAAAAACTTGCTAGTTTTCAAATACATTTTGTGGCATACGGTATTATCTGATACCATTTGACTCGTTATTTACTGTACAGTGTGCGTATTACAGGGGATCCAGAATTTTTCAAACGGGTATGGGGGAACAACATATTTAGAATAGATAAGTGAGAGTACAAATTTTAATATATTCCTTGAAATTTTAAAGTGGCAAAACGGGGTGGGGGTGGGGGGAGTTCCCCCTATTGGATCCGCCTTTGTATTTCGTCTATCCCAGTAACCATCAGTGTTGCTTAGTTCAATTAGGGAGAGGGTATGTGAACCTAGTTAGCGTCCTTACCTCTGTCATGATGTATAGTTCAGTTAGATATCTTATGCGAGTCAAACCTTCCTTCGTTAGAACGTGCGCTTTATGTCGCGTGAGATTATAAGCGAATTCATGTATGTAACTTGCTTTGAGAAACTGTTCTCTGCTTTGAGTAATGTTTAAAAAAAATGCAAAAGAATAAAAAAGAATAAGGCGTAAAACTTCTAATAACGCAGTATCTCATTACTCCATAAGTAATCCTCCTCTGATAGGAACCCACCCTTGAGGTTAATCTGAAATAATAACCGCTACTCTAATAATAACCCATGTGTTACTATTAGAGTCACCAAAATTATAGACAAAGTACGGTAACATTCAAATCAACATTTTTGTCGATTTAATACGATTTATTCCTTAAAATAGGCATTTCTTCACAATGGCAGGTTAACAAAAATATGAGGGGCGGACCTGTGTGTTTGAGTATTAATTACATTAAATCAACCAAGTTTTTTTTTACTGGAATACATTAACAGTATTTTTGTCTATGAATTGCTGACGCGAAAAAACTGGGGGGTTGGTGGGTTTTTACTATTTTCAATTGCCTATTCAGTTAATAGTAACCCACTACTCTAATAGTAATCCATACTCTAATATTAACCAATCAAAGAATAGTAAACCAGGGTTATTTAGATGTTACCGTACCTATTCACACGTCACGTTCGTATCAATAAACCAAACCATTTTTGCTACATTAGTGTTTCATTTTGCTAGATTTTTGTACGTGTGAATCAGTACGGAATGCGTAATAATAGCCGACAAGCGCATTACTACCAGCGTGCCTCTATTAATGGCGGCATCTCTAATTGAAGTTACGGTAACAAAAATAAAAAACATTACAAGTGTTCTTAAAAGCTACTTGTAATATAAAGATGCGTCTCAAGGGCGCTGTTATATAAAGCAGTATACTGGATCGCAGAAATCTCTGTGTTTTATTATGCGTTCACCATTTGATGTTCGTCGCCATGGTGTTTACAGGTTAATTTACTTACGTTGAAGACTGTTAGCCTTTCCCTCCATCACTATGATTTATGTCCGATTATCCTTATAGATATTTCTTATTTATATTTATTTCGGATTTCTGTATATTATTAACATTTACATTTATATTAGTATATTTATATTTTATACTTTATTTTATTTTAATTTTTGTTGGGTGAGATTTGAATTTCTAATACGATAATAGATTCCATTTTCTTTAAAAAATACAGCCTAAATATGACAAAGCCTTTTCTTGGGCCCAGATGATAGCACTGGTATTATAATTACATGCCTCATTCATTGAATTTACTATAATTATTTTGTTATGTTTAAAAGTAGGCATTCTATGTAATTTCAAAAGTATTTTTTTTAA